ATGTGACCAAATCAGGTATGCTGGGAATAAGAGAAAGAAACTCATTTCTCTAAAAGAGTGGTTTTAAAAAAATTTACTTGGTGTGAGTTATGTTCTCAAAAGAGTTGTTAGAAGAATCTTAACAGCTTTACGCCCCTTTGAAGCACAAGTCATCATGCAAGTATGGGCCAACTTAACCTACACTTGAGCAAGAACCCAGGTGCTCTCATGAAGGGAACTGGGTACAGAGAACTTTCTGTTTTGGAACTGGGTATCCAGAGGAGTCTCACTATGAAGACTGAGGCAAAGTGGGCAGTAAATACCTTGGCCTTTCCCTCATCCTTGGTCACTACAGTTACCTCTGCAACCAACAAAGGATGGAGATTCTCCATAGCCCTTCTTTTGTTGCTGATGTATCTATGGAAACATCTTTTATTTTCTTTTAAGGCAGTAGCCAGATAAAGTTCCAGCTGGGGTTTGGCTCTTCTACTTTTCTCTCTGCACCACCTCTTGACATCCACGGAGTTCTCTGGCATAGTCTGCCCTTACCTCTACAGGTCAAAAACTCTGTAAACTCTACCTTTTTTTTGTTTTTCTTTTTTCTCCTGAGTTCCCTCTAAAGCTCTCTCTTCAGCCAGGCTGATTTTCTTCCCTGCTGGCTCTTCCAACACATGGGGACAGCCTGCTCCTGTGCCTTGAAGATTTCTGTCCTGAAGAATGTCCAGCCTTCCTGGGCACCACTGTCCTTCAGGACTGTCTCCCTAGCGTCTCTCTCATCAGGTCTCCCAAACAGGCCCAAATCTGCCCTCTGGAAGTCCAAGGTGGCAGTTCTGCTGATCCCCCTCCTTCCTTCTGTGAGAATTGATAACTCTATCATTTCAGGACCACTGTGCCTAAGGCATCCTCCAATTTTCTCGTCACACAACAGTCCTTTTCTCTTGGCAAACAACAGGTCCAGTGGGGTACCTTTCCTATATGGTTCCCACACCAGCTGCATTAGGAATTTATCTTTCACACACTCCAGGAACCTCCTAGACTCCTTCCTCTCTGTGGTATTATATTCCCAGCAGACATCTGATAAATTGAAGTCCCCACAGGAAAAAGGGGCAGCAATCTTGAGACTGTTCTTTGGTTCTATGTTCCATGACTCTCTAAAATCAGATCAGTCAGTCAAAGTAGGAAAAGCAATTGGCACTGGAAAAACCAGTGCAAATTATTTTGCTCAGTTCTGTTTTTAGGTTAGCAGTCATTTGCAAAAATCAGATTTACCAGTTTTAAAATCTTGACGGACTTATCTCAGATGAAACTGCATGCATTCAGTTTCCAATGCAAAACAATGCATGCATTAACTTGTTTCCAATGCAAAATAAATGGACACATTTGTTGTGACAAATTTTTTTCCCTCATTCTTCTACATTCTAGGTAGCTTTATTAGTCAAATAATATTGCACATGCTAAAAGAAAAATCAAATTCCATTAAAATGCAATTTAGAGAGACAAGAAAGAAATGTATCTATAAATAAAAATACAACTTCCACCACTTAAAAGAGAACATAATGGATAAGTGGAAAAAAAATGTCAATAAATCAAGAAAGATGTTAAAAAACACTAAATAATTATTTGGAGAAAATAAAGTTTAAGTTTTGATTATCTTCATTTGCAATCAGATGTATTTTAATGGCTTTCATAAGTTTATAAATTCTTTTGTATTCTGTACCCAAACCACTCACAACATGCCATTATTTAAATCACTAATGATATTTAGAAATATCCCTTAAATCCATTTAGCTGAGACTATAATCCAACATATTATAAACCATCAGAGGCTCTACATTTTGTCAACCAAGCAGAAGAAAATAGTACACTTGTTAAAAACCACCTCTTTGTCTCAAAACCAAACATCTTGCCTCTCTGCCTATCGATTTTCCTCCAGTACAAATCACTCACCCATACTCATACTGTCTGCTTTGGTAATAGGGCAGACATGAAATTACTTACAGTCTACTAAATTCCCTCTTCCTGCTGTTAAAACCTGGCCTACACTTCTGGGTGTCCCAACACTCTATGACATTTACTTCAGGACACTGGAGCTGCTCCTGTATTATTCTGAAGGCTGCCAGTGGTGACCTCAGTTACTTTAGGACATGAATGATATTCTTCACAGTAACCACACAAGTTCTATTGGGTGGCAGAAGAAAATCTGGGGCTATGAAATGACATAAGGAATCTATTTACTCAGAGAGACATAAAACAAAAAAGTTGAATTTTCCATCACAATCTACATGTACACGTGTCCTGGTTTTGTCTAGGAAGTAATATCAAATTTCCTTTCTAGTAGCTGGTACAGTGCTGTGTTTTGGATTTAGGATGCGAGTGATGTTGACAACATGCTGATCTCTTAGCAAGCAGGGTTTACACTAAGTCAGGAAGTTTTCAGCTTCTCACACCAACCCACCTCCAGGTAGGCTGGGGGGCACAGGAAGCTGGCAGAAAATACATCCAGGATGATCCAAACTGGCCAAAGGGATATTCCATACCATGGGGTGTTACGCTCAGTATATACACAGGGAGAAAGCCAGCTGGGGGCTGCTGCTCAGGAACTGGCTGGGCATCGGCTGGCAGCAACTGTACTGTGCATCACTTGTTTTGGATATTCTTACTATTATTATCCATTCCTTTTCTGTTCTATTAAAAAGTCTTCATCTCAACCCACACATTTTACTTGTTTTTCCCCTCAGTTCTCTCCCCCATCCCACTGGGGAGAGGGGTGCAAGCACTTGTGTAGTGTTTAGCTGCCTGCTAAGTTAAACCAGAGCAATGAAATTAGGAGAAAAAGCACAGTAAGCAAATAAAGAGACGCTAATTAGCTGATCGTACTCCAGACATACTGTTAGAAATATGCAATTTGCAGTAATAAAGTATTCTGACACTGCCTAGCTGAAGTCATGAATCAATAATAATAACAATAATAATAATAATAATAATCTGTAATACCTTCTACTTTGCTGCAAGTTAGCTCTTTACAGAAAGTCCTTGGGTTAGCTCCATAAACTGCCGTATCACGTTACAGCAGCCCTGAGGACACGGCAGAGCTGCTTATCTCTGCTTATCTCGGCAGCAAGAAGCCAATGGGGTGTCCCCTTTTACCTATGGGTGCGGTGTAAACACTGAGGCAGAACTGTTGTTGCGGTCACAGCAGACCTCTAAATGTAACAGTAGCTGATCATTCCTTGCTGGAAACTGCTATGGCTTTTCATGCTCACAAATGTGTCTACAGCACAAGGCTTTAGACGGTTTCTGATTTTATAGTACCTAAGGACAGGCCCATCAAAACCAGAGGTCTTTACTTTAAGGAAAGGCGCAACTTGCACTGTGACATGGTGTCAAAAAATCAGATCTGCATGGTAAACACATAGTATAATTTCTATCCTTTAAAATTTGCTGTGGACTTCACTTCCTCACTGCTCACCCCCAAGTACAAACTCACTACTGAAAATACACCATAGCCCAGACACAAACTTCATTCAGCTGTTCACCAACTGCGCATCTCAAGCCATCTCCATGACGTACAATCCTGTGTTTGTCAGCCAGAACAAGGATAACCAGGGACACTCCGGACACCAAAAAGCAGGAGAAAACATTGATAGCAACAGAATGTGATGCAAACACACATTGCTGCGTGGAGTCAGCACTGAAGGTTTATTAGCACCGGCTATTTTCAGCCCCACAGCCCTTCATCTCAGGGCACTCCCTCACACCTGAGGTTTGTGGAATACTTGTGCCTTGCAGAGCATAGAGCTCACCACAGTTATGCAAGTTTAAAGGCTTCTGTTCCCAAGTCTTGCCTGAGAGATGATTCACAGCACAGGTAGCTCACATGTCCCTTCCCGTGGTCCAACTAAGTGGTAAAGTAAATAAACCACCATTGGGCAATGCAATTCTGCAAGGGTGGGTGAACAGCACCCCTGTGAACACAGCAGACAGCTAAAGGTGACCAGGCCTACACCTAACTTTTGCCAAAAAAAAAAAGCGTCTCCCTTTCACTGACAGCCAGAGAAAGCAGGCAGACAGCCTGGTATCCTGTGTGGTGGGAAGAGTGAACTCTGAGCCTCACTGCACCCTGAGCATGGACACAGCACATGGTGCCAGGCTTTGGTGCAGCCTGACCCCAGCTCTCCTCTGCCAGGAAAGGGGCAGCACACAGACCAGACATGAGCTACACCAGGTTCACAAAATCACAAAGTCATTAGGTTTGGAATGGATCTCTGGAGATCATCTAGGCCAACCCCCTGATGAGGGAGGGTCACCTTGAGCAGGTGACACAGGAACAGATCCACGTGGGTATGGAATGTCTCCAGAGAGGGAGACTCCATGACCTCCATGGGCAGCCTGTTCCAGTGCTCTGTCATCCTCATTGTAAAGAAGTCCTTTGTCATGTTGAAGTGAAACTTCTTGTGTTTTAGCTTACGGCCTTTGCTCCTCATCCTGTTGCCAGGCAGCACCGAAAAGAGTAGGGCACTATCCCCATGACACCCATCCCCGAGATATTTACATGCATTAACGAGCTCCCCTCTCAGTCTTCCCTTCTCCGGACCAAACAGGCCCAGCTCCCGCAGTGTCTCCCAGAAGAGAGATGCTCCAGACCCTACCTCATCTTTGGGGCCTTCCACGAGACCCTCTCCAGCAGCTCCTTGTCTTCCTTGCTTTAAGGAGCCCACCCAGCACAAGTACTTCTGACTTAATGTAAGGACAACCTCTGTCCTGTCCCTTCTTCCTAATACCCCATACCCCGGTGCTTTTGCGGCCCTCCGGAGTCTGGGGGCTGCCCATTCCCGGCGCTCCGAGCAGGGCCCGGGCCCGGTGCCGGGCCCAGGCCCGTTGCCGGTCCCGCTGTCGCTCCCGGGCACGGCTCAGCTCCTCCCGAGGCCACAGCTCCCCGCGCCCCTGCCCCAAGCACGGCCGGGACCCCCCGCCTGGGCGGGGATCCCCGCGTCCGCCACCCCCGGAGCCCTTCCCCGCACCTGTAGCCGTAGCAGCTGAAGCGCTGGCTCTCCCGCAGCAGGGCGCGGTACAGCCGCAGCACCTGGGCACGGCTGGACGCTGCCATGTTGCCGACACCGAGCCGCTCCTCCCGCGGCGAGGCCCCTTTTCCCCGCCCTCCCGCCGCCCGCGCCGGGCGCAGCCGCGGCGGAGCGGAGCCGCAGGGCCGGCGGTGAGTGGCGGAGCGGGGCGGCAGCGGCCGCGGCTCGGCCCGGGCCCAGCGCAAGGCGCGGGCGGGGCGGGGAGGGGCGGGGAGCAGCGGCTCCCCGGCCGGGGCAGCCCCGGTGGCGGTGGGCTCGGGGAACTGGGGATCGGTTCCCGGGTCCCGCCGGATCGGGCCTGCCCGGCTGCTCCGGCGGGGATCGCAAGGCGGGACTGCCGCGGGGTGCCTGTAGGGCTCGGCCGTGCGGCTGTGGAGGGCCCGGGGGCGGGGAGGGAAGGCCCGAGCGACAGGAAAGCGAAAGCAGCGCTCAGATGCCGTGCTCGGCGGGGACAGCAGCGCCCTGTGCGCACCCCGTGCTTGGTTGGTGTGCCCCGCCGGGAGGTGGAGGCTGCCGGGGGAGAGGGATATCGGGGCTGGAAAGGAGCAACAAGTGATGCGTGCAGGGAGTTGCCTCAGAATCGCTGTATACATTTGCAGTCAGAGTTCATGTACTGGAGAGGATCGAACAGAGGCCACGAAGATAATTTGGAGTCCAGAGCATGTGTCTTCATGAGGAGAGACTGCGGGTGCTGGGCCTATTCAGTTTGGAGAACAGAGGACTGAGAAGGGATCTCATTAATGTGTATAAGTAGTGGATTACTTATGTGTATAATGTGTATATAGGTGGATTACAAGAGAGTGATGCTAGGCTCTTCAGTGAGGCCCAGCAAAAGGATGAGGAGCAGTGGCCATAAACTATAACCCGAAAGTTTCACCTCAGTGTCAGAAACAACTTTAAATTAAGGATGGCAGAACAGTGGAACATGCTGTGCTGGAAGCTTGTGGAGTCTCACTCTCTGGAGACATGGAAAACCCACCTGGATGCATTTCTTTGTCGCCTGCTCAAGGTGACACTGCCTTGTCAGGGGAGTTGTACTACATGATCTTCAGAGGTCCCTTCCTACCCCAACATTCTGTGATTCTCTGAAATCACTACAGGCAATTACAGATATACATCTGTGCTAGTGTACCAGGGCCTGTTGTGTTACAGTGATGTTTGAGTTGTTCCTCTCTCAATACCTGTTTTAAAGATGAATTCTCTTATTTAAACCACACATCAAGCATCCTCCTTTGCTGTAAGTTTTGCTGCCGCAGAATGAACTTAACTTTGTAACTTGCAGGTATTATGCCACAGCTGTATTTAATACTGATTTTTGAATTTTATCAGCAATTTATTTAGTGTCATAGAATCATCAAGGTTGGAAGAGACCTTTAGTCTCCAGTCCAGCTGTCCACCCTGCACTGCTACTGTAACCCCTAAACCACCTCACCAGCGGCACATCCAGGAGTCTCTTCCATGCCTCCAGGGATGGTAACTCCACCATCTCCCTGGGTAACCTATTCCAATGCTTGACCACCCTAACAATGTACGTTTTCCCCTGATATCTAATCTGTATCTCCTCTGTCTCAGTTCAAGGCCCTTTCCTCTGGTCCTCTCGCTGCAGGCACAGCAGCAGAAATCAGTCCCCACTTCACTAGAACCTCCTTTCAGGTTTCATGATAGGGTTCCTACTTCCTTCACAGTTTGTTATTTGTATAGTAGGTGTTTAAAACAACTATCATGTAGATTCTACATGTCTCTGGCAAAAGTGCTTCAATTGCTGCTTCTAATTTAACTCATGTTTTATTGCATATACATTTGAGTATTATTGTCAGTTGTACATCTGATGCAATTTACAGTTTGTTGCAAAGAACTAAAATAGTTCTGTACTTTTGGATGTGATTAGTATAGACACATGAATTTATTTCAAATTTATCTTTATGGGTATGCTGTGTTTTAGCAGCCCTTTTAGGCTTCTGGAAACTGAGATTTTCTGTATGTAGAAAATTTTCTGGGTATTCTCTTTATCAAAACCCAAACTAGAAATGTTGCAGGAAATGTAGAAAAACATATGCAAATGTAGTACTGGGATAAGCATCATGCTTCTGATGTAACTTCCCTTGTAAGTTACAAACCAGTGTGTTTTGGGTTAGGTCTTGGCATTCAGGACACCCACATGGAGAAATACAAAGCAAACATGCCCTTCATTTGCCAGTGGGACCAACCAAATTCTCCTTGTAGCCCAAGCCATGTTGTTAAAGCAGATTGCATTCCAGAAGCAGAGCCCATCTGGGGTGCTGGTGCTCCCCATCTTTGCAGCTGTTGGTGGCTGGCCAGCACCAGCCATAATGCATGTTATAGCAGAACTCTGGCTTTGTGTGTAAGATTTACCATCTCTGAAAGCATCAGGGGCCACCCTGCCCTGTGTTATGAGGGTGGGCTTCAGACAGCTTAGAACGATATGGGTCTGTCAGGTACAGAGCCAAACTGAGGCTGGACAGTTTAGCAAAGTTACCAAAGTGATACCATTCTGTGGATGAGTGTGGCAGTTGTTCCATCTAATTTTACAACAGCCATCAGGTATTGTTGGAAATGAAGTTTTCATGGTACAATCCTCTGCTCTAAAAGATGAGGGAGTAATTTGGATGAAAGCATTCAGCAAATTTTGTTTACAAGAACAGTATTAATTAAATAATTGAAAAGTAATTAAAAATTATTTTTAGATAGCCTCAGATGATAATCCTGTTCCTGAAACTCCCTGACAGTTTTTATGAGTTTTGTTTCTTTAATTTGGTTTTTTTTTTTTTTAAGATAACTGTGTTTTTCTCTTCAGAAAGCGTAGAAATGTCCTATGTTTAGAATAAGCAGTAAGCTCATACAGTGCATGATCAAATGCAAAGTAAATTTATCAAAGGAGAAAAGTCTTTCCTCTTGTCTCCTTTTTCTAGCTTAACTTTTAATACACTCAGGGTAGGGAAGATTAATTTTTGTCAGAAAGGAGTCATCTTTGTGCAGTTGGTTTGGCACTGTTAAATGGAAAAATTAATTCCTTTTGTTTTTGCATTTGTTGTTGTGTTTTCTTGGAAGCAATGGGTTATGGTATCTGCAGAAGTTGTGTCATTCTGCAGGAAGTGGACGCTGCTGTGGCTGGGATACAGGTGGTTCTGCTGGCCTTTGTTTATGGTACCACTGCACATTCAAAGCACAGACAGCCCAAATGACCACTGTGTGTCCTGTGGCACTGTGTATGGGGAAGCAGCAGTAACCACTTCATGAACTGCCTCCTCATTCCTGAGGGGAAAACTGCACCTGGATTTAGGGTTGGTGGTGTTCATTTGTATAGAAGTCTTTGCTTTCAGCCTTTGGTCTGGGAAGGAGGGTGGCATGTGCCTTGCCTTTCTGCATATCTTGGGATAAATAAGCACTTTGAGAGGATATAATGAGGATATATCAATACCTAGAATATTTGAGTGTGTACTTGCTAAAAGAGGGGAGAAGAAGGAATTTGGATGAAGTACCTGCAGAGGCTGTGGACTGGAGTGGAAAGAAAGAGCTGTTCTACTCTCTAGGACATACTCAATATCTTGTCATCTGTTGCTGAATTTTTCCTTGTGGTGCATTATTTCAGCTTCATGACATGGCACTGAACACTTTCAGTGCTTTCCTGGTATGCTGCTGTTGGTTCTCATTATCTTTCTTTGGGGATCAGAACAATAATTGATTGTTGTGATATTATAATCTCTTTTAGTAATTGTTTTCTAGGTTGTGAAAATATGCTAATTTTTCCATGCTGTAGTGGTGTGGTGTCTCCTTTCCTTGTCTTAGTTATTGGTTGATAGGGTTGTGCACAGGGAGATCCTACACAGTGTAGAATAGGATCTTTAAAAGAAGGATTATAAATCACAAGAATTTTGGGATTTCAGTGACAAATGTAACAAAATGTAATTCAACTGTTCTGTGGGGTGAATTAAAATTTCCACAGTATCACCAGGGGCCTTGACTGACTCTGGTATTTTAAAAAAATTGTATTTAGTTGGTTGCCCTGTAGAAAAGAACATTTTTATTTAGGAGGTGAAACTTCCATATTTCAAATGCAGCTATACTTCTAAATTCTTTGTGCATTTAAAAAAATTCTACCTGAAAGCTCAGAGGGAAGAAAATAATGGTGACAAAACTCTTCTCTCAGTCAGCTTTTTGTGAGTTACCCCATCTCTTTCCAAACTGAATTGCAGAATGTTGTGTACTGTTTAAATTAAGATTGTAAGAGCAGTAATAATAGGAAAAGCAAAACACAACCAGTAGTGCATTTCCTGTTGTATTACTTGGTCTTCTAAGGGAACACCTGTTTTAGCACTGATGCTGTAGGCATCAGACTAAAATAAACACTGAATTTTGTTTTCCTTTTTGGCCACAGTTTTGACTTTCTAATTTCCTGTGGCTTACGTCCTCCAGAGGACTTCATGGGCATTGTGTTACCTGACAATTAAGGAGCTGGACAGTTCAGCAGTCACAGGATAACTTCTGGATTAATGAAAGGCAGTGTTTTGCACCATATGGATTTTGAAAGATGTTCTTAGTGGGCACATGTTGGTAAAATCCTTTGAAATGCTTGAAATAAAAATACTATAAAAGTCCAGAATTAAAAGGATAATTTTGTGTTATAGGCAAAAGAATAACTAATAGGAGATTAAAATTACCAGTAATGCTTAAATAGCTCAACATGTAATAGTTGCCTCAAATGCAAATGAAACTTCTAAACACTTCTAACCTTAATGCTAATAAAGACAAGAACTCAAGAAAAAATGAACATATTTTTCCTGTGTGTTTTTTTGTTACACTGAAATTTTGCTCAGAAATCTAATCATGAGAAGCATAAAGAGGACAAGATTAATGAAGTGTTCTCATCCATGACTTCATAAATTCAGAAATGCTTTCTTTGCTGTGGTTTCCAGTGTTTTATCAAGTTTAGCCTTAAATAACTTCTCTGTCTGTGAGAAAATATATTCTACTTTATATTGTGTTGCTGTTAACAAATGTTTTCTGATGCTCATCCTATGCCACCCTCTTCCCTGAGTTCATCCCACTTTTTCATTTATGCCCCTTTAGAGTCACACTGTGTAATCCTTCTCCCTCCTCTGTGATTTACACTATCATCATATTTCTCAGTAGCTGTCAGCCAGCCAGGCTAAATGATGTAGTTATTTTGATATTTTTTTCTGCCCTCTTTCAGAGGATATTGAAAATTTTAGCTTAGGAAGCAAACTTAGAAGTAAAACAAGGACTGATATTTTGTTTAAGAATAATTGAGATTCTCTTTGTAGCTGCCCCTGTATATTTTTTGCTGACTTGGGATTTCCAGTTTGGCAGGTTGGTTACAAATGGTACTGCCAATCTTTTGAGTTAAAGATCATGATAAAACACTTTGCTAGAGCAAAGTTCTTTTTTCTCTAGAGTTTATTTTTTGTCATGTATAAATGTGTATGTGAGTGCGCACATGAAAAACATGTAAATATGTATTCAGGCATGCATGTGGTCATGCTGTAGGGGTGAAGGTCATGCTCTTCATCTCTAATTCTCCATGTTTCAGCCTTGGGGATTGGTGCACAGCTAACACAGTGCTGTGGGGTTTTCTTCTGCTTACCCAGTCCCATGTCACAAGTATGTGAAATCAAAGACATCCTGCTGCTTGTGTGTATCCCACTTCTGCCCCCTGGATTGTGGGCATGCCCTTTCTTGTCAGATGACACTAGGGGCTAGCTCCACTCAAGGACTACTGCTTAAGTCCTCCATGAAAATCTGCTTCAACTAATCCTTTTCTTATAAATAATTATTGCGTGATTATTTGTTGGAAACAATTCCTAGATCAAAGTATCAGTAGGTGTAGAAGTATCATGTTGCTATGAGGTAGTTTGGATCTGATGTAAGAAAACATGTTATCCAAGGACATTTCTTTCTTTTAGTGAAAGGAAAATTAAGCAAAATTGTTGTTTACAGTGGATGGGTAAATCATCAAGGATTGAGTGGATTTTAAGTAGGCAATCTGTTTAGTTTTCTGACTGGGATGAGGGGAGGGGGAATATGATTTTCCACTTGCAACACATTTTCATTTTATATAGTGCTGTGCATCCATGTGTGACTTTTTATTCTAGTAGCTTGGACTTTTGATCCAGGAAAAAAAATCAATATTTTGAATAGGAAGCTGAAGCAGATTGTTTCCAGAGATGAAAGAAGACTATGGAGCAGTGCTTTAATTGAAATGAGGAAAACAACATGGCCATATTAGGGATTGTAGAAGTCGTAGAGTTTAAGATACTTACTTTTGCATGATCCTTGACATTTTTGATCTTTCATCTTGTGTCACTATTGGTTTTATGCCCTCAGAGCTCTGACAATGAGTGATAGTGCATTAGGGACGTATTCCTGTATATACCATGCTTCTGATGGATTTGTGAGATCAGCTGAATTGTCAATATTTCCTTACATGCCTTCACAGTTCTAGATAGAATTATCTTTTTATTTAATTCTGCTTCTGTTTTTTTATATCTGGGGTGACTCTGTCAAAATTTTTCTTTCAGCCTGAGAAGGAGCAAAGTACTGACTAAAGCTAGCAGGCAAAAGAAGCAGAGCTGAAGAAAGATTATCTCTGCTTGCAGGTAAATAAGTAAAAATAAATATAAATTTCTCAATCTTTGACACCAGCACTACCAGCCTGTTTAGTTAGTAACAAGTTTTCAGTCCCTCTCCATTTTAATGAATAACTAAATTTTAAATTACTTAGTAATTTAAAAAAAGCTTTCTTCATCTTCACCAACTGCTAGGGACATGTATGATAGCTATATAAATTTGCTTTCCATATAGAATTCATGCATTCTCTTACTCCTTATACAAAGAAAATTACAAGACTTGAGACATAAAGATAGGTGTGTAACAATAATGAGAGAGAGATAAAGAGGTAGAAGATAATAATCTTCTGAAGAAGAAATTCAGAATTTATCATCTTTATATTGGAGTATGTCCAGATCCTTGAATATAATCCCTTTGAAATCTGCCTAACTACCTGGGCAATAAGTTACTGTTCAGGGTGAGAAGAGGTGGCAAATTAAGTTCTCCTCATTTTACAGGCCAGTTACAATTGATGTGGGGTGGGATGGGATAGGATAGGATCGGATGTGGGATGGGATGGGATGGGATGGGATGGGATGGGATGCTCTGGTGAATGGAGAATGAACTCAGGAAGCTTTGGAGAGGCAATAGTTAGGACTTTACAAAGCCCACCATTATCTTCCAGTCTCTTACCTACGTGGCCCCATGGCAGCATCAGTGAAAGGCAGTGTGTGCCAGTGGCTCCTAATAAGGTTTAGTGTCTTCCCTCCAACTGGGAATGAGTGTTGATTTAGATGGGGATGCAGACCTATGAAGTGGAGCTGCCAGCTTTCCTATAGGAATGGGTTTGCATTCTGCTGAAAGGTGGGAAAGAGGAATGGGGGAAGAAATAGTTTGAAATGCTATTCTGGGAACATTTGTGAGAGTTCATCTGCCTGGAGACTTGAATTAAGTATCTCCTTGTTCTACAATTTCTGTGATTAACTTTTTCAGATATATTTTGTAGCCTAGTATTAGTTTAGACCAAGGTCAGGTTGTGGGGATTTTTGTTGTTGGTGTTGCTGTTGTTTCATTTTGTTTGTTTGCATGTTTGTTTTAACCTGGCGGTACACATGCTTTGTTTCCTTTAATTAATGCTTATGCACTTGATTTTAATTATTGTTTAACTTGTTCCTTTTTTGGAAGTGATACCTGGTGAAATAGATGTGCTGCATCTAAAACGGAGAAAACAGATAAAGAGAGCCAATTATCATGTCCTCACACAGATTTAATAATACTTTTTGTGTGTATGTGTATGTAGGATTTTAAAATAGATTTGACTTTCAAGAAAGTTTTCAAGACCTTAACTGAGAGTGTTCTTACTTTTGAGAGAATTTGCATAATTTTTAAAATTGCTTTCCTACTTATTTTGACTATGAACACAGCTTTTTTTAAACATTTTTTTAACTTTTATTTTATTATACTAATTAGTTACAGTGTGAAAATTGCATAGTGCATTACACCAGCTCTTCCTATGGGAAGGCAGTATTGTGAAATGGACAGATATGGCATTATATATGTAAAATTATCACATATTGAAGAGGTAATTAAATATTGGCTCTGTATAGGTTTGTTGAACTTAGAATAGCTGCTTGCTTTTTATGTCGGCACACTAACTTTGTACAGTTTTATAAAATAATGTTGTCTAAACATATAGACGTGGCTTGAAAGAGGTCAACTTTTTCTGTTTCCCTTCTGTCCCTCTTCCTCCCTGCACAGACTGTGGTTCTTGTTCCACCCTCCACTTCCACTTGCAATGTATCTTATTTTATACTGCCATTGTATCACTGTTCTGTTGTGGTAGGTTATATTCTTAATATAGTATTCATTCTACAAACAGAAACTCTGCTGGATAGACTTGAACTAAGTATGTGGGAGCACCATGTTTATTGTAGTTACTTTGTCAGACTTCCTGAGTTGTTATTGAAAGGATTCATTTTTTAATAAACTAAATTTAAGAGATATTGCAGATTCTACCAAATCCTAGTTTGTTTTTTGATATTAGGAGTTCATTGGACCCCAGTATCCCCTGGGGTCCCAGTCCTGACCCTGAGTGGCAAACCCTGCTGGGCCTGTGTGGAACACAATCTTTCAGCATGTGGCAAATTGCAGTTCTACAGATGGTTTTAAAGAAAACAAACCAAAACAATTATTATGTTTTAATTTTGATTCTCTCAGTACGTAACAGATGTGGCATTAACTGAAGATTGTTTTGTCATATGTGACCTTGAGCTATAATAACATCTTACTCTTCATTAATAATAAAAACTTGTTTCTTTCATGTTGTTATTTTCTTTACTTCCCTGACTTTCATATCTTCTTTCACCTAGTCAATGTGTATGTCTTGGCTCAGAATGCAAGATAAGAGGATGTTGTCTTTGGTATCTAAAGACTGGATAGAGAAATACTTATGTGAATAGTCTTAAATATAAATATGAAAAACATAAAAATTATATAAATATAAATAAATAAATGCATAAACTTATATACATACATATATACATACGTATATATACATATACACACCTGTGCCATAGTCTGAGATGTGCATTCTGAGTTCTGTCTTAAGTTTTCTTTCACTGAGGCTTGTTCTGAGGGGGAAGTGTGGCTTGCAAATTTCTGGTGTCACAGAAGGGTTCTCTGATATAATTAAAATATGTGGCTTTCTCAAAGCTTTTCATACAAAGATTTTAGTTTGTTCTTTGAGCTGGGCTTTGTCTAGAGTAAGTATATCAACATTAGCAAGCCTTACAGAGATGTTCCCCAGGAAGATTACAGATGTTAAAACATTAAGCTGCTTGGGAACCCATTATCCTAGGGAGCTGTGAGCCATGGACTCAAGTGTTTCCTATTTTCTGGCTTTAATGACAAGGAAAGAAGTTAGCAACACTAGTCTTGTTCGTTTTAATGTGATACTTTAAGCCTTTTTTAAAATCTGGTAGTAGCAGGACTGCATGAAGACACTCTTTGAATCTGTTTTAAGTCACGCTTGCCTTGCTTTGCTTGCTACAGAATATTTTGGAACTAGTTCTTCTTTTACAAGTTATTGGAGATGTCAGCACCTCTGAAATGCTGTAAAGGCAGTCATGTTCAGATGTAATCAAATACAGTGTTACGAGGTAGGTTTGCCTGAATACATATGAATCAATCCAGGCTCTAAAATTTTAACAAAACCATAGTTCAGCTGTATCAGGAAATTATAACAAGATTGAGCAAATGCATTTTAAAATTTGACTTATATTTATTTGAATAGGCAGAACTTTAAATTGAGGGGACTTATATTTATCATGAATATTTATCAGCAGTATTGTTTATAATTCAGTGTCAGTTGTTGCAGTTGAAGAATTTGTAAGGAAAATACTACTTTTTTACCCTTAGGCTTTAAACATAGTTAATACATTTATTTAGCTGTAGTTACAGAAGGTGTTTCATAATATAAGTAGAATTTTTGCAAATCGGGTTTTCTGTCTTTTCATAACCCATATACATTCATAACTGTAGAATATGCAAGGTGAAGTTTTTAAGCTGGTTGATGGAGGTTGGCTAGGTAGTTAATTCTTTAGTGTCTTCTTGGGTACACTAGTGCTTAAAAGAGTCTTAAAATAAGACTTTCTTAAAGTCTTAAAGCTTGTCCTTAAAATTGGAAGACTGAGGAGGCAGTACACAGGCTTGATGGTCATGTGGAATTTAGAAGGGGTACATTATCCATTCACCTGTGGTAAATTTTAGTGCTGGAATCAAGGAAGTAACAGCAAAGTAGTTAAAAATAAATATGTAAATAGAGTAAATAAGTTTGCTAAGGAGACCAGGTCAAAGGAAAGCAACCAGAAAATGTTTAGCAGTGCAATCTTACTTCATTTTTGTTTTACCTTCTGAAATTCGTTTTGCTGTGAGACCGGCTGTATTGAGACAGATGCTGTGATTGTGTGAGACTTGCTGGCAGAGCTGCCTGTATTGTTTTCAAATTTTGCTGTTCATGGAGTCCAGCATTTTTCGTAGGTTAAATGGGTTGGAATGAACTGTGTCATTTAGAAACTGATGTGTGGTGAGTTGTTTTGTTTTTTTTCCTTTTACAACATGCAAGTCAATACTGCACCCTGTGTAGGCTAGCTGCTTTTCCCCATACTTCTTTTTATTTCTGTTTTTCACGCTTTACTCATGTTTGCAGCCCATGTGATTTGGGATCAAATGCAAATGATGATACAAAGTTTCTAAATAAATTTATTTTGTTGTAACATAGCAATTTTTTTTAAATTCTAGCTTAAAACTTTGGGTTAATAGTTCTTGAGAGATGAGGGAGTCTTCTGCTTCTAGACCACTGTAACAGTTAGGGAGCACAACAGCCTAAGTCACTAACGCATAAGTGGGAGAATAAAAAAAAATCTGGTTGTTCATTTCTGTTTCAGTCAATAGAAAAGAGCTTCAGTGATAAGAAATTCTGCAAAAACAGTAAAAGTTTTCACGTTATGAAAGAAAAGGTGTTGCAGCAAGTAGAATTTACTTCTTAGCAGGTCCCATTTAGCATTTCAAAGACAGTGGGCTCTTATTAAGGAGAATGAGCTGATAGCAGTGTTTTAAAGTATAAGTATCTCTTTTTCTTTCAAGAGCACTATTAGCACATGGGTAAATTTATAGGACTCAGTTTTTACTCATTGTATCTTAAACTGTAAGTCTGTTGTCCTGTAACTCTGCCATACTCAGGCAAGGGCTGAGTTTAAGGACCATTTCTTACATGTCTGGACCCAGTAAAAAAGCCTTGCTGACAATGGTTTTATTTGGATGCCTAAAAGTGGCTCTGCAGAAAACTTCCCTGTCAAAAAGAAACAGGAGAAAGATGGTAGGGTTTTCAGTCATCATTTTCTGACATCCCTCTCTTTACATCTCTTCCATCTCACACAGTGGTTGAGAGAGAGGGGGCAAGTGTACTGGGAGATCATTTCACATTCTGATTCAGGATTTTAGGACTCCATGAGAGATGATTTCGCCTTGCATGGGAATAAAATCCTGCATC